CTTCTTGTGTGCACTTTGCATTTTGGGGGCAGGGTAGGTAGATTTTTGTCTTCAATTCCATGATTTAAAAATGAGAATTCCTGCATTGCCCCATTTGCAGTGAAACCAGCACAGAGTGCAGCTGGGGTTACCCACTCCGTCCGCGCCCTTTTTGGTTCATCAGAAGGGCAGGACGGATAACGAGGAGTTTGAGATGGTATCTATAATACTTTATTTGCGCTGGGGATAAGGCGGAACGGTGGCACTTCACCGGTGATAGCTCAGTTGGTAGAGCGGCAGACTGTAGAGGCTGCGGCGATCTGTTGGTCCCTGGTTCGATTCCGGGTCACCGGAGCTCCTGATGGCCTAGTTTTAGGTGGCCCCTGCTTTTCAATTTAGAGATGTTTTCTGGAGCGGGGCTTGCTCACGAAGGATACCACCTATTGTAAAGTTTTGCCACAACCCTCATTGTCTGCATTTTTCGAGTTTTCGCTTTCTCCTCATATATATGGGACCTTTTGCACTCCTTGATTTGTCCAGTAGGAACAGAACTGACGTTGGCCAGTATCGCCTGCGGCTTCGAAACTAGCTGCCGGGAAACCAGTAGTTTTTTAAAGATTTACTTTCCCGATCGTTTTCTACCCAAGGCTATTTGAACATTTCGTGAGAGAATAAAAGCCTTTCGTTGCCGTTTTCAAGCACCCTCGCGTGCTACTTTCAAAGGCATTCGGCAAGGGGAAACACTCTTTTTTTCAACTTACAGTGCTGGAGCTGGAGCGTAGGCATGCTACTTAGCGAATGGACAGCAAGTGCAAGTGCTTCTCACTTTTACCATAGGGAGAGATGCAGCACCAGTTGCCATGCAGTGCTGATACCGTCGCCTTAACGAACTAAGCAGCTATTAACGCACTAATCGGTTCTCAAAATTGCTAGTTATGAGGGCCTATTTCTCGTCGTAAGGATCCAGGAAAGAGGGGTTGTACTAATATCTGTTACAAGGATTCGTCAACGTCCAGTAATGCGTCTCCTCCGCTATGGAATCCCCTACCGTTGCATTGGCGGCAGAGAATGGGGATTGCTGCAACCTGGTGAAGTAGAAAACTGCAAGACAGCCTCCGTCATCGAGCCGCTTAGAAGCCACATATTGACTGCTTCAGATGTACTCCGCAGACAAAGCGTAATCATTCCTTTGGTATTGGAACTATTCAACCCTTCGTCGCCAAAGGGCACGGGATCGTACATGTATTGCAAATCGGTCAGATATCAGAACCCAAAGGGGTGAGGCCAAAATTTTCAGCCCAGAGCAGTTCGCCATTGCGAATGAAAACCACCAGTAACAGCGGCAAACGCAGCAACACACGAGAATGACGTCGCCGCTCCGCCGCAGCGACCGTTCTCATTGTTTCATCAAGACGAAAACACTCATCAGCGCCGGGATGTTAACTGCAAGCATTGTGGCCTTCCTTAAGTTTTCCTAGAAGCAACTGTCCCTAAACGTGAGCTCGCTCTGCAGTCCACTGGAAGCATGTATGCGATATCTCTGGCATAGTGCGCATTTGCTCACCCTCCCGGCAGCTTTGTACCATTTTTCATGCAATGTTCAGCGAGCATTTAATGCAATTTGTACTTGCTCCGAAACTACGCAGTGCTGGCGAGTGCAATAGAAAGTAGCTTTGCCGCCACAGGCGTATGATCTCACACGTAGGCCGGTCGTGGTTCAGCCCCTCCGTGGGCTAAGTAGTGCTCCAGAAAGAGCGCGTAAGAAAATCCAGAAAAGTCTCACTTAGTTTCAGACACTTCAGATGTCCTATGCACATCGAAGCGCTTGCCAAACGGCGGTGTTGCCTCTTGAGCAGTAATAATAGAAGGGATGAAAAGGCAGTTGACTGCCAGAGGAGTTGCGTGTGCTGCTGTCATTTCATGCATTCCTGCCACTAAACCTCTCGCTGCATGATCCGGGGTGTTTCTCTGATCGCAATACTATTTCCCGTGGCGACGCTTCTCTATGCCTTGCTTTTTTCAGCTCCCTAGCTTGCTTCATGGGCGTGTTGTTGAAATTTTACTGAAGGGCTTTATCGTAGCAGATGCAGTTGCACAATTGTGTATAATTGTATAATCCCCGTCTTTCTGCGTGCCAACTCCAACTCGTCCCGCCTGTTCTCACCCGCCTTTTTCCTTTGGTCAGTGGTGGCACTCACAGCCCCAATATCCGCCGGATGTGCATGAGCATGATTTTCGAGCAGTAGGATTTGTCGTTTTTCTGTCCTTGACACGGATGTTTCAGCGCCTCCCCCTCGTTCATTCGTTGACCTCCTCTTCGTTTCCCAGCCCGTTAGTCGCGCATCACTCCAGGGAACAACCCTGCTATGAAGGAATGGTACAGCTTCTCGGAGGTCACTGTGCGGCTTCAGCCTAATTTTGGCTGCGCTTTGAAGACAAACGCACACCGCTAGACGAGAAAAATGTTCCTCCACTTCCACCGAATGAAGGTCCCCTTCATATATGGATAGTCTGCGCAGGCCGGAGGCATCCTTCATGAATGATTTTAGCAGTGAAAGCATTCTTAGCTGGAAGCGCTGTGGACAGTGCAGTCGTTCCATTGCGTCGAGGGGCTCAGTCGTCGGGCCTGTTCCCGTTAGAGAGCAGATCCTGACCAATATCCATTATTCGAGAAAGCACTCAACAGTAAGAACAGCTCTACGTCGGGTTGCTTCGCTGTTGAGGTGGGGTTTGGATCTCATGCGTGCACCTCTAAGCCATGCTGCTACCACGTGCAACAAGAATCTTCCACCTTAGCCGAAGACAGTCGTGAGGCGCAGTACAATCGAAACATATAAGGCAGTATTTCCCCAGCTGCTGTCCTCCCTTCCAGTCTCCGGGAGTTCTATGCAAAAAGGCCGCGGGCTGGTGCGGAGGCGGGACCGGCGGACCTGAGTTGTAGCACCCCTTGTTGCTGTTCTTGTTGCAAGGCAATCCCACTTGAGAGCCTACAAAGGCCCCCAGCCCTCTTCCTATGCATGCAATAAAACTGTAGGAGTTGTTAAACAATTTTTTTGGCCCTCTGCAGCCAGCCTACATGACAATCGCAAAAAAACTTGAAACTCTATTCTGAGCAGGTTAAACTACTTGCCTGGAAAAACTGAAGCAAGCAAAAGCCAACCAGAACGGATAGCCGGACCCTATTTAGGCTTCGCTGGTGGGAGCAAATCTAAAATTACATCACGAAACAGTTTGGGACAAAGAGAATGTGAAAATGCAACAATTGGTCAATGCCGAGGAAAGTTCAGCAACCCCTTAACGAACCAGCGATCACAAATTGACGAAGCTTTGCCGGATAAGGCAACCTCTTACAGCGTGCTCCGGTCTCTTTAACCTGGTTTCAGCAGCATGAAACCCCTACAATCCCGCTCATTCCATTAGGAGAAAAACATAATATGGTGTTTGCAAGCCGCAGCGATGGCTGCTAGCAAGTAAGAAGAGCGCCAGCGGCTCTAGAACGTGCTTGCGGAGCATTGAGCCACTGCAATAACGTAAACCAGCAGGGGAGGAAATGCCGATAAGCCGCAGCCACTCATGTGCCTGCAGCCCGTTTGTAATTGGCCACCCCACACATAAACTTAAGTGCCGGTTTACAAAATTCCACGTAGATGTGCCCTTCACAAACCCAAGCTCTCAGCAGAGACTTCATTCAAAAACATGCTACACGTTTATGGCGTGCCTCCTGGAGTTGAAAAAAAATGTTGCTTTGCTCAAAATGACTCTTCCAACCACCTAAAACGGATATGCATTATTTATAGATAGAAAGTCTTTCTGCGAATGAGAAGTGTGTGTATGTTATTTGCATGGCGTGCAAAGCCGAGCTCTCACTCAACAGGACTGAAGCAGCAAACGCCTACCCTCCCTATACACTTCAACTTCGCGATCTTGCCAAATGAGCAGTTCCATGGTCTTGCCGCGAAGCCCGGAAGTCCTGACCATGTGAGGACTCCGAAAAACGCCCCACAACCTCTCTTTGAGGTGAGATGAAGCCGCCGCGCACGCAGCCCACACTGCAACCCCAACCTTAAAAGCAGCAACGGGATAGCAGACACCAACAAGGGCACGAGAAGCGGCAGACACGGACACTGGAGCAGAACGATTGACCCCAGCATGAACAGCCTCTGATTCGTGTCCTAGATCCAGTTCTCCTAAGGGAGGAAGGGTTATAGTGATAATGATATCCATGCTGACCCGTTGTGGATCATCACCCCAGCTACAATGCCAATCTCACGCCAGCCCAACACCCACCGCCCGATAGCCTAATTTCCTGTTTAACGCGCCCTGACTTGTTTCGAATAATAATCTATTTGTGGCAATTAATATCTAATAATAATAATAATAATTGCTACCATTTGTTAGACCTCTAGAGGTCCAGTTCGAGTACCACTGAAGGGCCTGCGCGATACAGTGAGAATCATCTGCCTGCAGCGGAGGCAGATGCCCCTAGAGCTGAAGGGATCAAGTTGCGCTACTTCCTTGTCACAAGGCCAGCCAAAGAAGAGAGCGTCGAGGCTTCGCACACACGTGCCACTACAGGCAAAAGCTTGATGGCTCATGCTGGCACTTACAGATTGGCGGGCCCAGGGGTCCTCCGGAAGAAAGCATTGCGGACATTAGCTTTTATTGGAAATCTAAAGTCCAATTTCCACCCAGGAGAAATGCGTTTACTCATCGAGTGTCGGAGAGTAGTTCTGTACGGACCTACAAGCGTTTCATCCAGCCCCAGCCGCAATTCTGTGATTAGGCTCACCCTCGCTTTTGAGATTCACTGTCTGCGATGTTATCTTGTTCTATGTTTCCATCTAGTGTGCATTTCCTGGCACTTTATTGCCATTTATAAGCTTGTTATAATGCTGGGCACTACGCGGAGTGCGCGATGCTTGACTCCGTGTTGCTGCCAGTAGCCAGCCCAAGCGATCAGATACGTGGAGTTCAACTACTCGGCCTTCGAGTTCCAAGATATCGTGAGGCGCATTTCGGAAATGTGGATCGGTAACATCGGGAAGAAGTCTGCTGCTTTTATCAACCACAAGCCATTCCACCCAGGGAACTACCAGAACCAGGAGAAGGTGTGCTTCGGGTGTTACCTCACCTCAACCACCTCAATTCAGCACTTGGGCGATCTGCATCCGTGATATGTGGAAGCTGAGGCCGCATCCGATGAGTTCTTTGGGATGGTGTTTTTGTGTGCCGTTAGGTATGGCTAGCTGAGCAGAAGCTGAAAGAGGAACAAAAGAAGGAAAAAGAACTTGAAGAGCGTCGCCGAGAGGAGGTGAAAATAGAGGAGCTGCGGCGGGCCTTGAGGGGTGAGGCAAAAGCTGCACTACAGTTGCAAAAGAAAGAGGAGGCAGTGTCTCCGGCTGAGGAACTACGGAGAAAGGCTAAGGAAGCGGCGAGGCTTCAGGCACTGCAGCGCAAACACCAGGAGGCGCAAAACCGGCTGAAGAAACTTTCGAAAAGCACATTGTACGATGAAGACGCGTTCACGCAGGGACACACCTCCGTGTTTGGCTCGTTGTATTCCAAGGAGGAAAACAAATGGGGGTACAGGTGCTGCGGCAGTTTAGACAGATCGGCTCCGTGCACGGCAAACCAAGGCGACGATGAAAACCGCACGAAAAAGAGGAAAAACAAAAATGCAATGTCTACTCGAGCTGCGGACACGACGGTTGACGCCCCTGGTAAAGCAAGAGACGGGGAGGAGGAGCAGGCTAACGGAACCAGCCCGGCGGATAGCTCTGTTCGGGGAGACAAGGAAACGGGCGGCAACTTTCATGCAAGCTGTAGCAAACGTAGAGCGAGGGAAGGAGGTGTTGCCGCTTATGTGAAGCTCCTGGCGGTGCCGGAGGAAGGGGAGTGACAGGTGTGTTGGCCGCAAGTGTGTTTCCTTCCTCACGCTTCCAAATATTTTGCGTTTGAAATGGGTTTTCGCGCAACACAGCGGTGTTGCGTGCGTGACATGGCACGCAGCGTGGCTGTCGTAGATATGGGGGGATTGTCCCACACTCCTGACAATTTTTTGTCTTCACTGTTTTTTCCTCGAACTAATTGCCTTGCTGCTGGTGCTTAGCCAGGTAACACAGCAGCTGGTACTTATTGATTGCTTATTTACCAGAGGAACTAGCGGCAATAACTGCGATTGGTGCAGTGTCTCTACGCTTCACAGGCTGGAGAGGCATCTGTCGAAAGACCGTAGGAGAGTAGCTCTAGTTTTTTCCTTTACCTGGTGTAACGGGAGGCTTGGCTTCATCTACCAGGCCCCCCCGTGCTCTTCCTTGTAAAGGAAAACTTGAGGTTCAGCTTAGTGCTCATTGCTTGCAAGTGTTTCTGCCTTGATGCAGAAGTGCAACCACTATATGGCAGTACCACACTGAGACTATAATGCTTTCTGGTGGGGACATAGGGCGGCATTTGTTACTGCCTGGGTTCTCGGCTTGCAGCCTGAACCGGCAGTTGTGCCATAACTGAGCCGTTAAGTGCTAAGTGCTGCAGGTGAAACACTCACACGCCTAGCGTGCAGAGGTTTTGAAGACGGCAGTTAAAGACGAGTTCCAGTATTAAGCAACCTGTGACAAATGCGCCTCCGGCATATTTACCAACTCCGAACAGCCAGAGGAGCGGGGATTTAGTGCATACGTTGCGTTCAGCCATCGGCCAGCTTCTACCAGCCAGCGCTACCAACACAAGGAGCAGCGAGAAGGTATCTAGTAACTAGGGATGTGGGAGAAACGGGGGTTTCAAAACTTCAGCTTAGTACACGGCGGTAGGAAGCAGTGAGTGGAACGTCTTATCTTCCAGGGCGGGGCGAAGGTTTGCGACACCATTGCGCCTTCCCCAGACAGTAACAGCAGGGAACCCTGCAATGGTTTCTCGAAACAGGTGGTGGAGTTTCCAGGATATTCTTCCCCGCTGCGTTGAAACAACTGCTTGCGTAGCCACGCCAATTTCCTAACGAGCAGACGCGAGCGGTATCGTTGACCTAACCTCAGTGGTTCCCCCTTTCTCTTTCTTCCTATCATGCTTTGTCTGAGGGGTAGGCGGCAATTTTACAGGCGTCGCAACTCACAGTTGTTCCCTCCGAGTTAATCTTTTGCCGCTTTCCGTGACCCATGGCCAAAAGTTTTCATCGTCGTTCCCTCGGTGGGGGACGCATTCATTCAAAGCGCTGTGGACAGCTCTATGTCACTTGCTATTCTCTAGCTCAGTAAACGAAACACATATGCTGCTTAAATTGTACCGTCAGATGAAGATTTGCAAAGGCATGATCAGTTAGACCTGAAGCCTGATGCCAGTACTTCTGACATCGCACTGGTTGAGAACCCTTAGAACCAGGGGAGGATGGCGAGGCTGAAAAGCCAAAAAAACAGCTCTTGGGTAGGCAACGTTGAAAATGCGCAAAAGATACTGTGCTAGCAGAGACTCGAGCCGACGAACGTCGGCCAAACCACCGAGACACGAACGCCAGTGGTGGTCCCGACAAATATGAAGACGAGTTTGCGCAGTGGAAATATGAGGAGAAGAATGCGCAGAAGTAACCGGCTGACAATGCATGGAATTACTAAGTAGTCACCTCAAGGGCAACGGGTTGAGGTGAGACAGCCAACAAGGTACAAAACGCGACCGTCCACAGGAGGCGCCGGTCGCTCTACCTCTACACAACTCTAACGAATAGAGAAATCGTCGTGGTTTTCAGCTGGAACGATGGCAAACAGCAAGCAGCAGCACCAACGAAACAAAGATGAAGCAATAGAACTACTGCAAGTGCGCAACCGAGCGCTGGAGCAAACATCGCATCGCCACGGCGAAAGCATTTATATGCGTGCGGCATAGCCTTAGGTTAAAATTCCTGCATCGATCGGCGGGTGAAGGCGCTCACTCACTGGATCTCGTCTTGGGAAAGCTCTTTTTTTAGGACCTAAGCTAGTAGAAAAGCCAGGTTGCCGAGTCGTGGCGAAGGTCCTTGCGGGGCCCCAGGAGGCACCCCTGGGCCTTTGTTGCCTTGTTGCCTTAGCTGTTTTCTAGATCCTTAGACCTGATATGCTTTTTTAATATGCAAAAAGTTCTTCTGTGCCTGTGTACTAAGTTGAATGAGCCTGTGTATGCTATTTCGATGGCGTGTAAGGCGGATTCCTCACCCGCTCAATCTACGCTTCGACTTAGGGCAACCAGTCTTCCCCCGCACTTCTGTGCGTGTATCAGCTCGTCTTGAACATTAAAAACTCACCGCGCAAAGCGGGTCTGGAACTGGTTCCCCGTAGCACTTGCGGCGGCAGGCACATTTGCTCGCAGATGCTCCATTGGACAGCGACAGTTCCATCCCTCAAGCGCACACGAATTTGGGGTAATAGGCTCATGCTTCAGCATCATGCATACCAGCGGTGTGAGGCGTACTGTGTAGACAATGCCTGGGGCCCAGGGTAACAATGAGGTTCCCGGTCCTGGTGTTGATTTATCTATACCTCACCCGCTACGGTTTCTGTTTTTTTCTAAGAACCTCGGAGACTCTAGAGAAGACCCACTTTTTCAGGGGGTCAGGAATAAACTTTTCCGCCTGGATATTTCCGACGCCACGATGCCCAGTTGTATGGAGTTATTGCAGGCCGGTATCTGGGAAGGGCATGTACCAACGGAGTTGGCTGACCCCCAATTGGAGGAGGGATCTGCTGACTTCTGCAGCTCCAATTGAGGTTATCTCTTGTTCTAGCCTTACTCCCCTGCCCCCTCCAACGGAAGGCCACCAGCCTACGCCTCCAGGAGCAGCCAATCCCGCTGCTCAGGGGTCGCTGCTGCCAGACACAGCCCCACCGAAGACAGAGAAGGTTTCGTCTGTTTCGTCAGCAGATACGTCTACTGGTGGCATTGGAGAGATTCAGTCGGTTGAAATTGACGCAACACTAGACGGCATTAGTCGAGAAGGGCTGTTGCAGCTTCTGCAGGAGCTGCAGCAGCAAACGCCTGAACTACTACGACTTCTCCCCACCCAAAACACTTCATCTCTCGAGAGTTTGTCAACTAAGGAGCTCCGAGGTCTTGTAGAGCAGCTTTTAAACCTAGCGGAGGCAGCGGACGTGCACGGAAATCCTGACCGTGTAAGTGTGAACTCCCAGGTGTCCTCCACATCACCGTCAGGCAGTGAGATGAAGTCACAGCGCACGCAGGCCGCACCGCAACCCCAACCTCAAAAGAAGCAAGAGGACAGCAGAGACCAACAGAGAAAAGAGAAGCGGAAGACAAGGGAACGTGAGCAGAACGATCTGCCGCAGAAGGACAGTGGGGCGGGTGTTCCAGTCCAAAGCTCCCTCTCCCAAGCTGCTGCCACCGCAACTGCTGCTGCTTCTGCTGCTGCCGTCGAAGCTCAGCAGCTACTAGAAATGGGCTTCTCAGAGGAAGAGGGAGAAGGGCTGTTTTCTGCGTTGCAGGAGCAGCTTCCGGTGCTACCGGAATCCGACATCTTGGACCTTCTTGTCACAATGGGCCCTGTACTTCAGGCGTTGCTTCCTCCTGAAAGTTCTCCACAAGATTATCCATCTTTAGAGCAGCACCAGAGGCAGAAAAATGAGCAGCAAGGTAGTACAGTAGATTCTGTGAGAGAGCTGTTAGACGCAACGGCGCAAGAGCGACAAGCCCTGGCGGCAGAGGGTGTGGCCATAAGGAGGTTCGTAGAGGCGAAGGTGGAGCCTTTGTCGTGGGAGGCTAGGAAAGACCTGCTGCTAACACTTCTAGCAGTTGCTGAGGCTGAGGCATATTGCCCGAAGGAGCCTGAAGTACGTCAGCTCTTGGGGCTAGACGACGCGGGTGCGGTAGTGACTTCAAGCGCCTCTGCGGCTGGTGCTGCTGCTGACAGGAATGGAGCTGAGCAATCAGACAGCAGGGCTTTCGGCGGGCTTCCGGTGGTGTCAGCATGGCGTCGGCTGCTGCAGCTGCCTGAGAACGCCCTTCGCGGTGAAAATTCTCTCTCTGCGGAGGAGGCAGATGCCCTTAGCGTTGAGGAGGTCAAGCTGCGTTATTCCCGCGTTATCAAGCAAGCCAAAGAAGAGAGCATCAAGGCTTCGATCAAGCGCTGCGAATACAAGGAGCAGGATGAGAGCTCTGTGGAAGGGCCAGAACTACCTGCAGAAAGCCTTGTGGGCACCAGCGCATCTCAAAGGACTATAGGAAGCAAACCACCGACCAAAGCAAGTTCTGCAAAGCCTCAAGACTCAGAAGACTCTAAGCATTCAGTGCGGCAACTTTCCGACAGTGACTGCCTTGGCCGCAGGCTCAATGCATGTTCCTCAGCCCCCACTACGGGCGCAAATCTGGGGGCCGCTGTGCGGGACTCCATAGTAACGGCATCAAGTGCTTCTGAGTCTCCCATGGGAGGCAAGGAGTTCCAAAAAGCAGTTATAGCTGCTGGAAGACCCAGCAGTGTGGTCCGCCCAGCGAGTGTAGGAGTATCGATAGGAAAAAATAGTTCAGCAATCCAAAGTGGACGTGGCGATGACCCACCCATTCAAGAAGGGGACCTCCTAGATCCTTCGCGAAAACCAGAAAAAGCCCTCGGAGGTCACTTAGATGCCGAAGACAGTGGAGACACTTCTGACTGGAGGAGGCTAAGAAAGCTGCCAGGCGGCGCTGGTCGGTTCGCTGCCTTGGGGTTGAATGATGTTGTGAGCTCTGCAGCAGCAGCTTTCTTGGGAGGAACGGCGCCCAGGCCGACTCCAACCCAGCGGCTCGTCGTACCTCCCATATTAGAGGTCTTCAAAAAAGCCGAGAGAAAATCAGGGATGATGGTGGGCAAATCATCTGTGGACAGTTTGGTGGCTCTGCGGGCGCATACAGGAAGTGGAAAGACACTTGCATTCTTGCTGCCGCTGATGCAGGCGTTGCGAGAACAAGAAGCGGCAGCTACTGCTGCAGCGAAGCGGAGTGCGAAAGATGAGGTGGAATACGCAGACCTGATGGATTGCAAGGCCCTGGCGGAGACCCTTGAAGTGCATAGGGGGGCACACAGAGCGCTCTTCGGAGCGAGAGGCCCACGCGCGCTTGTGATTTGCCCTTCAAGGCCCCTGGCTTCCCAGGTAGCTTCTGTTGCAGCTGCGCTTGCAAAGCGCATTAGGCTTTCTGTAGGTTGCACTACGGGCGGGGTCGGAACTGGGGACCAGCTTCGGTTATTGCGGCGTCGCCCAGTAGACATCCTCATTGGCACTCCAGATCGCTTATTATGCCTAACGCGTCCCAATCCTATGGAGAGCAGAACATGCGGGACCGGAGAGAGGATAGATCGTACACAGAGAACCAGCGGGCGGTTGGTGAGTCTCGAAAATGTGCAGTTCTGCATTCTGGACGAGGCAGACGCATCGTGGCTTGGAGGTTTTAGAGACGATGTTGAGAAACTGCTCTTGCGTTCCCACTTCCTCCATGCAGTCTCACAACCTGTGGGGGAACAGGAGACGAGATGGGTTCAACCGAAAGTCCTGTTAACCTGCACGGCTACGCCTAATAGTGGGGTAGAGGGGGGGCTGTGTGAACTGCTAGAGCTGCCGGCTGAGAGGGTACTTACTCTTTCAGGAGGCCCTTCCTTTCCCCCCCAGACTCAGTTGTGCCATGAGATGATGCAGGCTCGTGGGGCCGACCGTTTCCTGTTGCTAGTCGAACAAATAAAAATCCATCCACAGCTGCGGGGCAAAAAGATTTTGGTGTTCTGCAACACAGTCGACAGCTGCCGTGCCTGCTGCCACCACCTGCAAGCGGCCGACCTTCCTGCAGAGGTACCCGTGAGATAACATGGAGAGGAGGGAGAGGGCAACTTTTCTGTAACGTAGTTTTTCCTCTTTTCTGCAGGCAGTCCTGATGTTTTCCTTGCCATTGCACTATTGGTCAATGACCCTGTTGCCGAGTTTTAGATTGTGTCAGGAGATCGTCTCCAGGCATCGGCCCTTTTTGCTGTCTGATCATGCGATGCAGGGCTATGACGGCTCTTTGCCTGCTAGCGTGCGAGAGAAGAATCTGCGTTCATTTCAAGAAGGAAGCGGCCAGCGAATTTTGGTGGCTACGGATGCTGTAGCACGCGGCCTGCACATTGGTGGAGTGGATGCCGTCGTCAATGCAGACTTCCCCCTAACGACAGTGGAGTACTTGCACAGGTTGGGATTTACTGGCAGTTGTTCATTAGTCACTTGGGCAAAGCGCTCATGTTTCATCCATCCGCAATGCACAAACGTAGCCTCTAGTAATACTTCAGAGAATAAAAAACGATGGTTGCAGCAAAAGAATCGGCAGTGATCCGCGTTAGCGTGGATGCATGCGCGACTGTAGGGCCGGACGAACTGGCCGACTCGATTCCAAAGGGTTCGTGCTCTCCTTCGTCTCAAAGAGGGATGCAGCCGTTGCAGCGGCTGTCAGGGCATCTCTCTCTGCGGGTCTTTCCACCGAAGGAATAGATGGACGCGTTCCAAGACCCAAGAGTAGCGTCGGGTATCAGTGTGAGCCATTACCAGACTGCCGGCTTTACCACTATAGTCAAGTGGCCCATGCTCCGATGGCCGTACGCCCTGCTTCGCTGCGGCTGGATGGTTGTTGACTGCGCAATAGCGATGATTCATCTGCAGTTCCCATGTAGTTCGTTGCCAGCGTGATAGATGACTGCGCATTTGAACTACCGGGGGATCGGATATGTGACTTTGTTGCTTGTGCATGAGCAGCTAAAATCCGACGAATGAAGACGAAATCGAAGGCACGGCGAGGAGGCTGGAAGCCTCCACGGTAGGCTTGGGGCCAACACGGCCTTGCACAGATATGTGACCTCCCCTATAGTTCATGATCGGTGAATGATGCTGCCTTTCCTACCCGAGTGTCTTCACGTGTTCTTTTTATGTGCATTCTTTCTTCTCCCCGCACTACAGAGCTACAGCCTAGATGCCGTGTGAGCTGTTGTGGCCTGGCATTACCAGGCCAGCCTTCGGTCGTTGGGTACGTATGAACAGTCTTGACACTGTTTTGTCACAGGCCAAAGGAATGGCATGCCGAACGGATGGAAAGGGCCAAGAGGCTCAAACAGAGGCGACGAGGAAAGGAACATCCCAGGGGAAGGCGCCTACGCGTTGCTGTTGTGAAGAAGGCACCCAAAGGATCCTAAAAGCCGCGTCGCCCGCTTCACGGGGCATTCTTTCTGATACAACCCACTTTTTATCGGTGACCATATAATGCAAGAGTGTGCCATCGGATGCGAGAACAACCTGTGAGCGCAGCAATCATACCATTGGGGAATTGAGGCAGATGGCTTTTCAGGCCCAGTGCTTCGCAAACTGCAACAAGGACACTTGTCCTAAATGCGTTTCTTCAATTCCTCTAAGGGGAATTTCATTTTGTCAATTTAGTTGGTTTCTTATTTCTTGCCATGGTGACACTCGTAAGATTGCGTTTGATGTCAAGGTGGCAGCGCTGTGTAGTCCACGGAGAGTCAGTCACACCGGAAGTATGATTTAAAGATGACAAACCGGCTATTCCTCAGGGGAGAGCAGGAGTCAGAATGCGTCTGCTTCCCACTGTCATTGGGTGACTCAGCCGGACACGTCCTCCCACCGGTGATAGCTCAGTTGGTAGAGCGGCAGACTGTAGATGCTGCGGTAATCTGTTGGTCCCTGGTTCGATTCCGGGTCACCGGACTTTCAGTTTGCACTGTTTTGCCCCCGTGCCGTTTTTCTAGCTATTTTCTTCCTTCAATGGGACTCCTTCATTTTTGTATCTCTCTGAGAATAGGTTCCTGCGGAGCAAGCGGTGCTCACCCTCAAGAATTTGCCGTTCCATCGAGTGGGAGGTCTTCCAGTCGCGCTCTGCCGTCTTCGTACTCGCCAACTTGCAATTTTTGCCCTTGGGCAACATTAACCTGTTTAAAATAATGAATCCAGATGACCTGTAGCCAGCCGCAGCCGCAGGTGACCACGTCAGTGCGTGCTGTCTCTCTGCCCCTGCGAGTGTGTGGTCGGTATGTAGATGCCGTCGACCTAAAAACAGCGTTCAGCATCCATATGCGGCATTTTCCACAAGTCAGCACGTATGGAACACGATTATATATTTGGTGGCGCGAATAATCCGAAGCCATCTGGTGGTGTGGATCCCCCCGTGGCACGTGTTCATTGCTAGCCTTTGTGTCTCCTCTCGACGAGAGGCCAATGGTGTAGCCAATATTTTCCCGTGACCCCATTGTTTTTCATTTGCCAATTCGTCTACGCTATTTCTGCTCTGTAGGACGTATTCGGCGCTTTCCGTCATCTTGCTTCCTGAGGCGCGCGCCGAACTAGGTAGGTCCTTTTCGAAAACCTCGAGATCCTCTGTTCATTCCGCTACATGGGTCTGAAATATACGCGTACAGCTCAGAATAGTGTGCTTCTGTACACCCGCTGTTCCTTATTCCCACACTTCGCGGCCTCACGTCTGGGATTTCCGAGTTCATCCCGTGGATGGCTCACTTCTTGATCGGGCTAGGTGGTCTTCCACTGACACACTCTTCCTCTCTGCTCTTTGGCTTGGTTATTTCAGCCGGAAGTCGCTTAACCAGGATATTCTTGCAAGAGTAGCGTTGCCGCCTGCGCCCCTGCTGGGAAGTACAAGAATTTTCCCCCATTAAATGTATAGCACCCACAGAAACTCTTGGTGCTGCCTTCGCCAAAATTTCATGTTACTTGAAACGGTATGCGGCTCATGGGAACGCTTGCGAGTAGACGTAACGGACCGCCGTTCGTAGGGCTGGAGAGTGGCCTGTTGTAGTTGATCCTAATCAACTATGTCGTGCATTCTTTCCCTTTTGCAGTCAGCATAGAAGAATGCCTAGCATTGTTGGAAGACCTGGTCGTCCTCAGCACAGTGCTATGTCTACCAGTCTTGTGCTGGATTGTGACTATGAGTAGCGCACTTCGCATGACCAAACCCCTAGGTCCTCCCTTCCACGTGGCATGGCCCAAGTCGTTTCCCTCCATATCCTCGAGCCCTTCGGAGTTTCGACTCATCCACATATGACGGCTTTACATTCCTCAAAGAGTTTTGTAGATTCCATGAAAAATAGTCCAAGGATATTACCTACGAGTGTACCAATGTAACTTGCAATGTGTCATGCATTCTTTCCCTTTTGCAGTCAGCATAGAAGAATGTCTAGCATCGTTGGAAGACATGGCCGTCCTCAGCACAGTGCTATGTCTACCAGTCTTGTGCTGGATTGTGACTATGAGTAGCAGCCGGTTTTCAGGTATGGGTGGCATGCTGCGTGAGGGGAAGCAGTCATTCCGCATTTTTCAGTTACTGATAACCTTGCCGCTTGCCAATCCGCGGTTTCTTCACCACTAGACTTCTGTACACTGGTGGAGCTCCACGTTGCAAGACAAGACAGGGGTTCACCTGTTTCGTCAACGCCAGATCATGGCTGTTGCCAACGGGAGGCATTGCGTCGTCTTCTTCAACGAATTGAGCATACAGCAAATATTTGTTCCAGGTCTCCTTCCACTCAACGTTCAGATCCAACCTATTTTGGACCATTGACACACTTCATGCGTGTTCGGCGCAAGCCGGTAGAGACTCCGTGCTTTATCACGAAAGCGGCGAATAGCTACCAGTTTCTTCCACCTTCCACCACTGTAGTGCATAACAGAGGGGTTACATTCCTCATTGAGAAGCAGGGTGATGGAAGAGAGTAAGCTTCTCTGTATAGCATCGGCACATTAATTTCCCTCATGGTCTGTGGGATTGTTTGAGGCCGGTGAGCTCTCTCGGTAATCATGGCTAAATGGTTAAGAAAACACATACAAAGAGTTGGTACATGGTAGATAATCTGCGTTTGTAAGGTACGGATCATTTGTTCCCCGTCTATCACAATACCGCGTCAGCCTAAAAACCGGAGATCCCCAGTGAAGCGTGAACTCTGGAGATGCTAATCAGCATGTTCACAATTAATTTGCTTTGAACTGGTCCCAGCTATCTCTTGCTGCACTTGCTAGAGCACAAATATGGCCCTTTTTCGAAGGCGCGCCAGGATATTTCGCAGCAGGCCCAAACACGCCCGTGTATTCGGCGAAAATCATAAAACACAGGGCGCAGGATTGTCATTTTTCGGTGTATAGCACTCCTATGTTTGGCTTAAGGTAAGGATTGCCAACTTAAGGCTCTTCGTTGCCGAAAATAAACGAGGCACGTAGACCTTCTCAGACGTATTAGTCGGGCCCAGGGCAAGAAGATGAAAATTCAGGGAGGTTTCTCCTTTGAAAATTTCAACACAACAGTACAGGGGAGGAATTCCCATGTGTAATTTGCATATGCGCTGGGCCGAATAGCTTGCAGTGCGCTGAGGTGCCCCGGTGGCATCGGGGGCCAAACGAAGGCTGTTTCCGGCGGGAGACTGCACGCATTTGAATTCGTTCCCCTCTTTGCTCACTAGCTTTTCTTTGCTGTTAATTTCGGCCTTCTAGATGCCTTCCTTGTGGGTTTTTTCCGTGGATTGCACGGAGCAATTAGTTTTTGAGCAGCCGTACCACCCAACTGGCGGGCGCACGTATCGCGGAACTCAGCGCAAGAGCGAGGGTATTTATTCGTCCTTCCAGGAGCCCCAATTTATTCAATTTTAAATTCGAGATTAAATTAGTAGCAGCGGATTCAGTGCACTGCACTTGCGGCCCGGTTGTCGGCGACCGCCTGGACCAGGCAGGACCATCAAGACCGGACGTTGTCCAGGGGACAAAGAAGCTAGGTCCCAATTCAAGCATAATGCTTCCATTTTCACAGGGCCCTCTGAGATTCAATCCATCTAGCGAACGAGGAAGGCGTCGGAATGCGCGTCCTGAACGCTATGACGCATCTGTGCGGGCACCTCTGTCTACGATATTTTTCTCAAAGCCCTCAAAGGCTAAGAAGTGCTTTTCGGTCGATACCGCCTCCACAACACCACTGACGACTGCTCCTGTAGGAATAAAGCATAAAGCAGCACCTCCTCCTGGATTGCAGGAAGAAGCATTGGAATGTTTTCGTCTGTACGACAGGGACGGAGACGGGCTAGTCCCTGTGACGGAGGTTGCCTCGATGCTCCGAAGTTTGGGTTTTGTCGTGCGCGTTGAGCAGATCAAGGCTTTTGAGGCTGAAATGCGTTGTCAAAAGACCACCAGTGTGAACTTCGAGACCTTTTCCTCGATTGTCAGCAAGGGGCTTCCCAGAACAGTAGATCCCGCGGATGTTCTCGATGCATTCCACCTGCTGGACCGGGAGAAGAAGGGGAGTGTCAACGTTGAAGAGCTGCGCCACCTAATGACAACAGTCGGCGACCCCCTGTCAGAGGCGGATTGGCAGACGTTACTGAATAGAACTTTGATAACGCGCGAAAGCGTAACACCTGCGTCTTTGAAGAGCGGGACCTTTCTAAGGTTAATCTGCGGACCGCCTGACGGCGAGGGCCAGTGGGCCACTGATTCCGCTCTGGCGCCCCAGACTGCGTACAAAGGACCTTTGCTTTAAGGGGTAAACCCCAGAAAGGAATACAAGCTGTATTTGTAGTCCTGCCCATCAATCTCCGTAGCGGCTAGTGAGCTTAGTGAGTGGCATCCGTGTAGCGTTGTAGACAGGAAACACCCGTTCCCTGGTTGCACTAGAGAGGGCTGCACCTTAGTGGCACTTCACCGTCCTGCCCACAAGCGAACGTGATGACATGACCAACTCCCAAGAACTTGAAACTACGGTAAAGTCTGCGCCATAAATATATTCCCCTCAAGGGTATACACATAGATCTTATTCACAAGGGCGCTCCGCGCCTAATGATTTCATAATTCGTGTGTGGTCCATGGGAGCTAGTCAAGCAAAGCTCCCTCTTGCGCCCCCTAGGGGGGAGACTCCCGGCGGAAAGCTGCTGTACACAGTGAAACACTAGGAATCCATATGCACCGCAGGAGCGACGCGCAAGAAACATCAACGGCTCTCCAGGGCATTACCACATTGAGGAAATGGCATTTTGCGGCTCGGCATTTCTCGATATGTTTTGTGCCGGTGGGGATAAACCTTTGAGGTCCAGGTTCTGCTCTCTTTGACGCCCGCTGCAGTGCGTAGCGGGATCTGGCCCTTCGCTACTAAGGAATAGACGTGCGCTTCTAATAGCGACGATGGTGAACACGGCGTGAAATTCACATATGCCCCATCCGTTCTTCACTGTTGTTGCCCGGCAAGTTCTCGTTCAGATGAGATTCGCCTATAGCTTCCCGCTGAGTGTTTGCGGGCCCATTCGTGTGAATGTCCTCAAACTTCTGTCCCAAGCTACAGTGGTCCTTGAGGTCGAAGTTGTACCCAGAAGCGTCTGCTTCGTCTGGCTCGAACAATCCCGTCACGTCCAGGTGCTCTTCAGGAAGCTGCAAGGTATCCCGTGCTGCAGTAGCCTGGGAAGTGCTAGCTGGGCAGTCGCGTTGAGGGCAGTGGGCTGCTTCCGCCACGGGATTAGCACTTGAGGATGATTCTCCTTCTGCAGCAGCTCTCTCTTCAACAGCAGGGCTTACCTCGGGCGGTTCCCAGTCACCAACAACAGGCGAAGCTGCCAATCCCTCCTCGTTATCGCTGCAGCCCGCTTCGCCAGCTGGAGTACCCTTTGTCGGTTTGCTTATAAGGCGGCTCTGCTGCTGTGACTCAGCGGCTGCGCCGAGTGGAACAACCACTGCCTCGTCACCTGCAGCGGCCGCTACCTCGCCGCCCCTCTCTGGAAATGTGTCTGCGGCATGTAGCCGCTCAGTAATGTCTTGCTTCTCTGCGACAGGCGAAGAAGCAAGCATTTTCTTTTTCCGAGACACATTCTCGTGAGGCGATTTTTCTTCATTTCGAAGGCGCTTAGTAGAGGAGCGCTTCTTGATAGCTTGCTGGGCAACATCCCCTGCTGCACCCCTGTGAAGCGCCTTTGGCGGCGCATAGCTCGGGTCCGCCTGTTCTTGTTGCTGCCTGCAAGTTGGCGATGCAGTGCTGCGAGCATTCTCTTTTGATGCTGCTTCATCTGGATGCCGGCCAAGCACTTCTTGAGGCTTTTCTACCTGTATTTGGAGGGTTACAATATCTTCTTGCCGCAATTTCGAGCCTTCTCTATGAGTCGAACCACCGCAGCTTTCTCCTATACAGTCAGGTGGCATTTTCCGCCCCCTCCCCGTTTTCTCTTTTTTGCTCTGGCTGATCCCCGTCTTCGCTTCTTTCCGGCGTCTCTTCTGTGCGCCTTCAGTCGCGTTTCCATCCAAGTTATTTGGTGTCGGGCTTGACAGGTTTAGCACATGCTGATCCCGTGGCAGAAGTTGCCATGACCTAACGCAGTCGAGCAGCCACTGAGAAGAAATCGCTACAGGCTGAGCTCCTGCGTCTCCCTGAAAGCCCCAAAGGCCTCTGGCCTGCCGACGGCGCAACGCCTCTGCGTCTTCCAGCATCCGTACAGTAGCAGACGCATCGTCTCCTAAGACTCCTCCAGCAGCGAGAACCTGCAGCAGCATTATCTTCGAAACTGCATTCCCCTATGTGCTTCACAAAGAGACTGCCATCCATAAAGCTGCGTGGTCCATACTGAACAGGTAGAGGCAGGGTTACATGAGGTGCATACCAATGACTGCAGCTGTTGTTTGGAAAGGCCAGCAGGGCGGTAAGGTCCATCGATGCATATTGGCAGGCCCCTCAAAAGCCAGCGAGACTTCCGCTGTTCAACGGACGGGAAGTCTGGCCTCTGGAACTGATAGGGATCTGGCCACACCTGTAGCAGCAGAAGCAGCAACGGAAATGCGAGGTGGAATGAGCAGCAATAGCGCACTAAAGAGTCCGGTTCGGCTTCTCCGTAAGATGCTGCTCAGGGCTGTTCTTACCTTCTGTTTCCTGACTTCCTGGAGAAACTCTTCCCTCAAAATGAACGCTCCGTTCACCAGGGCGAAGTAAAGCTTCACTGTGGGCCGCTGAAGAGAGCAAGCACCAACATAGGATTTGCAATGCGTACCAAAAAAAAGAACAACTTTGAAGGCGTTTAAGCTAATGAACTTCAGGCCAGCTAGCCGTCCGCGTTTTGCAAATATGGACGCTCAGTTGGGCAAAGTCACGCACAGCAAGATACAGCTCGCCTCGTGAGCTTCGCGTTCAACACAGAACGCCTAAGCCATTTCCAGCAACGCTGCGTGTCTCACCACCAACTCATTACTGCAAATAAGGTGGGTTATTTTTTCAGGGTACTGAGGCTTCCACTCAAAGGCCGCGGGAACTCCGTCCCAGCTCCCCAGACGCCGAACAAGGGCCGGTAATTCGTTCTGCACACCCGCGCCTTCCGTGAAGCCGGTAGTGGAGAGGAGGGCCTGCAAGGCAAAACGACAGTATCAGGAGAGATAGGGAGGTAGAGGGGGAGGGGGCGGAAGGAGTCACTTCCTTGAAAAAGGCTCTAAACAGCGTTGCACCAGAGAGAATATAATGCAACCACGTAACACTGAGTAACGTTCCTGCACACAACCAGATCGCTTACCCTCTTGGTCCTACACGCCGCCTGTCGCCTCAGTTCTGAGTCAAACCTTCCTTTAAGAGCCAATATCGAAGCTGCCCACGCCATCAGCTTTGCCCGCCGGTGGCTCTTGCCTTTCGTCAGGCTTGCTGCCGCCGGTTGCTGTTGCTCTGATAGCTTCTGTTGCTTTATTCGCGGCTGCTTCTTAACCTGAGGCTCTCCTCGGGGCGTTTGACTGGTTGCTTTGCCCTGTATTTTCTCTTTTTTCTGGCGCTGCCTCTTTGAAGCATCTGTTGCAAGGCTGCTGCCCTGATTCTCCTGCAAGGGGAATGGCTCTGCTGATTGCTGCTGCAACTGTGTCACACCCGCTCGTGGGGCTGCTGCTGTCGCTGGGAGAGGGACAGGTGCACCGGCAGCTGCCCCTCTTTCGACAGCAGGGGCGGTTGGTGGTGGCCTTTTCAGTCCCGAGACCCGTGGACCATGGAGGCCCTTGGGGTGAACTGGGGCCTTTCGCTGGACAGGCGCTGCTGCCGCACCTGCTTCTGGCTCACTCCCCCGTCTCTTTTTGGTTGCAGTTACCGCAGCTATGCCTGCGCCATCAGCAGTTGTGGCAGCTGCCTGCTGCGGCTGCACGCATCCGTTCGGGTCTGCTGCCACCTTCTTCAGAGCGGACAAAAAAGCTTCCAAACGCTCGCCTTGCTCAGGCTCGGTAAGGGAAAGTGTAGACGCGAAATCTGTCGGCTGCAGAGCCAAGAGGGCGTCTCCCCCTATCTGCAAAGACATCAGAGCGCCGCACGGGAAGTGCCAGCCTGCGCTATCAACAGATATCCTCTCTATGCATGCAAATGCATCATTGCATAGAATTTGCTAAGTCACGTACTTCTTGAAGCTTCACAGCTACGATTGTCTCCCGGAGATCTGCGTCCAGCTTAAGTATCCGCGCCACTCCTGCATAATCCATCTGGCCAAAACCTGCAGCACGCAGACCAACGGAGGCAACGAGGGTAAGGGCACGGCGCGAGAGATGGCAATGGAGAACTCTGCAAAAGGGATGCCACTGGTGGTTCGCACGGAACGTATTCGATAAGTGAGACACCAAGCTGGCGGAGTAGTTCAGAGCTACGCCGATGGAGGTCAGAGAATACCCGAAGCGTAAAACCCCTGGCGGCAGGCGGCAGACCATCTTTCTGTGGCATTTCTCACCTTGCAACTCGGCCACCGTCACGCAACCTTCGGCGAGCGCGCGCCGCAGAAGTGTTTCTGCAGAACCCTTCATTGTGCCAAGAAGTAAAGTTTGTTCCACCAACGTCCCTACTTACCGCTAAGTGGAGGAAACAAAGAAGCGTTACAAACGCACCATTGTGTCTTTCGTACGCATTCCGGCATAAGTAAGGGTGGTAACTAAAATATGCAAGGAAAGGATCGAAGCTACTATGCAATCCCCAGCCAGCAGGTCTGCCCGGAAAAGCGCCAGTCGTCAGCGCGCGGGAAGCCGACCTTGAGTGTAAAGTTCCAGGAACTTAGGCATAATTTGTACAATAATTGCAGGCGGATGCGCCGGTGATACATAACTTGCTTGCTCCCCCCTTTGAACAACGACCCACCAGCCCCAGCAAGTACGGGTGGTTTTTAGATCATTCGAGGCGAGCCCATTCTCCCACGTAACCGCGGCAAGACATTTTTTATTTATTTCTACTTCTCCGCATTAAGTCCATCCACTCTCCTTCCCATGCCAGCGGCGCGTTGGCATTTGTTTGCAGGGATGCCAAGTAGAACACAGATTGCGAGAGACTCCAATGCGTCCAATCTTGTGCCCAAAGGGACATTCAAAACAATAAGACTTTGTGTATAGTGAATGCAGTTGATCAAGGTGTTATGTAGACTGCTAACGCGAGTGACAGGTTGCCCAATTCCCAACAGAGTAACGTGCGAGGTGCTGTAACGTCGTCTGTTCCGCTGTGTGGCAGGCTGCGTCAAAAACCAGCGCAGGAATCCATGCTTGCTGGTGTTTCTGGCTGTTTTAAGCGGAATAGGTAATTTACAGTTGAAGAGGCCGTCAGTCAGTACATTAGAGAGGAGCTTGCGGATACGTGCTGGCGGGTTGCCGGGGCGGTGTTATACGCTGCAGTCGAAGTAATGCAGTCTCTTCTCTGCACCAGTTACAGGGTCCTGTACCGCGTTGCTCTGAACACCTGGGTTCAGGACGGTAGGTCAGTTGTATTCAGGGAACCATTGGTCTAAGTGGTCGATTTGGTCCCATGCACCGCACGGTGTGGTGCGTTTTTACCCTTTGTAGCGCTACGTGGATCTGCAGGTACGGAGAGCTGCGGACGTGAAGTCGCGATTGGTCTGCCCAAGTCGGGTGCTCCAATTTGCATTTTTTTCGACACGTCCGGAGATTTTTGCGAAGAGGGGATCGCTCTCCAGTAGGTAGGCCAGGCGCTGGACGATTCGCCTTGCCATTTGTCATGCTCCAGCTTCTAGAAGGTGCAAATTTGCAACTTTTCCTATTTAGTATAGAAAAGCAACTACATTAGCACGCACCTCCAAGCTCTTGCTCGATGCACTGACCGACACCGTGTTGGAATGAAAAATATCTCCGCATTTTATCTTACCGAAAGCTTTCTTACCGTCTAGGCTTCTCACGGAGAGTGCCTTCGCTCGTGCCAACTGTCCAAGTGAGACAGATTCAGCGATGCAGTAAAGGCGTCTCCAGCGCCTTTTGTGTTCAAGCTGAACCAGGCTAGGTGCAGTTGCTGTCTGCATCTACTTTACTCCAGGGGGAGAGCATGACAGTGGATGCCTCGTTTTCGGAACCCCTCAGGAATGGAAGGCTCTTCCAGAAACTATGTGATGTTGGTTTGCCCTCAAGTTGGCGAGAAAACAAACTGTGGCTAAGTAAGAATACACACGGAGGAAGCTATCGATATCGCGCCGCATGGACAACTCTGTCGCAAAAAGAAGTCCCACGGTAGACTTGAAGCTTCTGTTTCAATGAACTATAGCAAGAATGTCCCCAGAGAGAGTCTAGCAGTTACAGGCTGGGCGGCGGATACGGAACTTACGGACGAACGAATAAAACGAGCCTGAGTTAGATAGTACTTACTCGTCGATGACGGCGAAGCACTGCTTGCTGCTCTAGCTGAGAAGTAAGAGGACAACAATAAAAGTTATTTGGTTGAATATTCGGTTGTACAGCCTGTGGATATTGGAGCTGGGAAGGTCAACGCATCCCATGGGTACAGATGAAACGAGAACAGATGGAAGCAGCCGACTTCTGGACTCACAAGACTGGAGAAGCATGCAAAGTCGCATAGCCATTCATTCGGCAGTGAACCATGTCATATAATTCAATATTGCAAGCGCGTGAGTACGGCTAGAAAACGCGAGGACGAAGAGTTGCGAGGAACATCTCAGGGCCACCAGAGAAGCGATCACGTAAACGACCTGGCACACACGCAACGATTCAGTGACGGGATCGGTAGAGACCAGCACCAGCAGATCCTCCTCAATTCAGTCCGTGCTTATGTAAATTAGCACTAGTGGGCAGGGAGCTTTCAGCAATATTGGGGACGCGCTTCCCAGTGAGTCGGAGATATGAAGTTTTTGAGTGCATCCTATTTGTTTGCTTCTTCGCGTTGTCCCTGTTCCACCGCTCCGCCAAAACCGCATAATGCACGGGGAACGGTAGAACGGGCTGCCATAAAACTGACACATCTGAGAGACAAGCCTTCATTCGATACGAAAGAGTTGTTGTGTGCCTCTGGCTGCCCGCTCATTTCATAATCAGATGTATGAAGGACACCACGAACATTTTCACTGATGCCTCTCCCGAAGCCATCTCGACCTGGCATTGTGCTTTTTGGGTGAGCGTAGCGGATAGGACCTGCAGCATAGACAGTAGTCTCTGTCGGAAGCAGACAAAGTATGGATTATACATACTAGTACGCTGAACGCCGCTTAGTAGGCACGCTGTGTTGGCATGTACAATCATGTTTTAGCTGGGCACGAGGTAATCAAAATAACACTAGGCTAGGGTACGATGATGGCGTATGATGCGCATTTTAAGCTAAGGGGATGTCCTAAATTTCAAACGTTAAACGTTGTGGTTGCGAAATACTCTCGAACCACGCTTATGGCAACTTTCAAAATTTTTACCAGTCGAACTGGAGGGATGCTTCTGTGAATTTCGTAGTGGTGGCCGTCCATTCATTGGTTGCGACAGAACTTTCTTCGCTGTTAGTAGGTCCAACAAGCTTGCGTCTTTCATGCCCTGTTCCCAGTTAGTTGCACCATCCAGCGAACGGCGTCTTCATTATTTATGTTTGAAATCGCCATAGATGCCACAGGGGCATCATGGATCCAAAGATTGTTAGCACCTTCTGGCGCGAATTCATGGCGCATCGCAACACCTGTAGAAACATGCCTACCGAGAACCAACGGGAGGCTCACTTTGGAACAGAGTGGAGGCACTTTAAACTTAATCAGTATTTGTAGCACTGCATGCATGTATGCGAGGTCGCCTTTCAGCGGCGGTTGCAGCAAGGCTTGCCGCACTCCCCCGATGCCGCCTGCTCACCAGTTTCACGCCCTCATGGGGGTATGTCCAGGAAGCCTAGACCCAAAATAAGAGGCCAAATACTTTTGGCGGAACTCCCATTGTAAATAATTTGACTCTGTTGCAGCCCACAACAATCCACTGCTTAGATCACTACTCTGCAGTACCTCCTAGAACACTCCAGCAGCAGAAGCATATGACAAACTTGCCAATTTCTTATTGACAGGAGTGCCGGAGCGACTCACTTCCAGTATCTCTTTGATGACGATTCCCCCAAAGCGCCCCTCAGAGGATGATTACAGTGCAATAACGGTAGTACACAACACAGCTGTGGACGGGTAACTACCCTTCCTGCAGTCCTACTTACTTCTTTGTTCCATCTTAGTATGACTCCTGACAACACATCTCTGCGGGACCTGTTTTGGCGAAGCGATGACGCTACTTGAAATAACGCGACGACAGTTGATGACGCTAGCCGTGGACCGGTGTTAACTCCTGCTGAGTTGTATTGATTAAGATATCCCCCCAAAGAAGCTGACCTCTCCCAACTCTCCAAGTGCCTTGGGCACAGCGGAACAATGGCATAGCGATTGTGAAGGGAAGAGGGAACGGGGATGCACCGACTCGTTAGAGACATGCTAAACACCTGCTTGGCCCTTTAGGCAACGTGCACACCTTTAGAGATTCACCTACCAGCTCGACCCAGAACATGCTACACAGCACAGCTGGTTGCAACTCCTGCTGCGAGGCAACCCCAGATACAAACATAGCACGCCCCCATTCTGCTGAGTGTAATAACACTATATATATTTGAAAAAGAGTTGCTGGGCCGCCACTATGCAGTTCCCATCCAAGTGAGAATGCACCCACCAACTTCGGATGTAACATGCTACAAACGGCTGCAACTGCCTGTCTGTTGAATGCAATCAAGAAACAAAGCAGCCTCAGCTCGTACAACACTGCAAAATGGGTCTATTTACTCGCTGGATTCCTCTGCGATACACAATGACGCTGTCGCCAGTCGGATCTGCGCTGGTGGTTTCTTGTGCTGACACACGGGTGCGTCCCTAGAAAGAGCCTCTATGGTCCCTCTCCTGTCTTTCCCCTGACAGCCTGTAATGGATCAAAAGTAGTACTGTTATCGAAGAATATCAAGTGCATACTTGCTTTCTGCTGTGGAAGGAGGGATAGGCCTCTCCTGCTGCGCCATGGGGCTTCGGGGCGGGTAGAGATGCTAACCGCCACATTAGTGAAGGAAAACCATCCATTGTCTCTTTTTTATGTATGTTAGAGCTTCGCAGTTTTTTGCAAGCGCCCCGGCAAGAAGAGTTGTGAGGAGATGCGCCCTAGTGATGCTAGTGACGCGCAGTCTCCTTAGGCAGCCGAATACATCAGTTTCCTTCTCCTTCTCGTGTATTTTGAATACCAATGAGTTGATATCTCTTCAACCGCCACGCATTTCGAGTGGCTTTAAGACAGCCGTTGAATCGGGCATACCTCAAGGCGCACAGTACTGGGCTGAAGGAACTAGCCCGTTGGCTTTCAGTTAAGACCATTTTGACCAGTCCAATCACGGAGAGCTATCGTGTACTAAGTGTAATTCGGAAGCATACGGCAGATCTGAGCAGTCCACTATTCAGTCGTGGTGTAACAACAGACGCTCACCGAGAATGGGGGTGCAGTCGGACGATGCAGCCGGTGAAGACTGCGAGCTCGATGAGTTCGTCTTTGATGAAGAGGAACTCATGGGCAGTACGCACGCTTCGCCTAAGGCAAAGGTATGAGCTCCTAATAAGCCTACACCTTCCCAAAATCCGTATGGGCATCCAAACGGAACTTTCACCGGGTGCATTCGTACCAGAATACGAGCGCAGTTGTATTATGTTAATATCTGAGGACACAATATCTGGGGAAATTGAGACCCGTCTAAGACCTTCCAAGACTGAATTCTGTTTTCAGGGTCTGGTCCCTCGGTACCACTCACCGGAGTCCTTGGACAAACGGATTGACGAACTTATCCACGAAACTGCAGACCTTTTGGGGTTGAACGAAGCTGTTGTTGGGTTAGTCTTTCTCCCGCCATGGTTTAACACACTCCTTACCGCACGGATTCAACAGTGCTTGTTCCTTGTTCAATTTGTCTCTACTGTGTCTGTCCAGCTGTTGAGGCTTTTCTTCATTGCATGCAGAATTCTACTCCGCGCGTTTGACTGGCGAAGCGACGCCTTAGTTCAAGAGTGGTTTAATGACAGCGCTGCGGTCCTTCGAAAGGTATTGTGCGATTATTCAAATATGCGGCGCGAAGAGAGTCAGCGCCCGGCTGACGCTGACCAACAAGTGCTTAGCTGCCTGCTGCCCACTAGGAAACATCGTCGGCTGTTTTTGTGTCTGTTGGAAAGCAGTAGAGTTTCTGGAGGTGTGCATATGCTGGCGATGCAGGGCAGGCTTCCTCCAGAGCTTCGGGAGGCGGAGAAGGAGCAGAACACACCTGCAGCAGTCACCAATGACCACGCTTGTGCCCGAGCCCGGCCGGAAGCACATGGGAGTGCAGCGGGAGCGGCTCCATCGTGCGCTGACATATCCAATAAGAAAGAAGCTGGCGGCATGTTTGAGTGTCCCGTCACTGCAAATCTTGTTCCCCTGAGCGACACGTTTGCTCTTAAGTGCAACCACCGTTTCTCCAATGCGTGAGCAAAGGTTAAAGCTTACCGTGGGACCTTATACTGCCCCTACTCGGCGAAAGCCCATTTGCTATGCACAGTAGAGTTAGTGGGTTTCGTGGCGTGTGTTGTTTTGATTGTGTCAGCGCATGGATAGGATATCTAGACGCGTTGGTCACCGAGAGCCCGCAGCGCGCTCTTGACGCCCGGTGAGTAACAGTGGCATTGCTAAGGGTCCCTTGGCGCTGTTTTCTCTTTTGGGGCGCTCATGCCTACGATGCACCGAATATCTGTTCCTGGAGCTGTGCTGTGGACGTGAAGTGGGTAGAGGATTCCAGTGAGCGGCATCGTTGTTTGGTGCGCTCTAAAGAGGTTGAAGCTAAACTTCTGGCGTTGCGGGCCCACCCGTGTGATGGGGGGTGGGGATAAAAAGAGGACTTCTGACGCTCGGCTTCTGTCAGTGTCCGGTTAGGTAGCAAGCGTAACATTTATATTCTTTTCTGGAGGCGATGGTGATATCTCGTTGACGGGTCTAAGCTTTGTGGAGATAGCGCTCCATTCATGCGGGCTGTTTGATATGCAGGCTTACTGAGTTGTGAATACGGAGTCTTTTCTTGTTGTTTGACTTTGCTGTAGTGCAATTCGTGCCATTTTTGTTAGTCATACCACTTTGTGTGTGCATTCAGCGTGATTACCCGACTATGGTGCATTTGTGTGTGCTGTCTTCCAGGTGCCCTTTCCCTGGATGTTTGGAGCTCGTAACTATGGATGTGTGGCACTTTTTCCGGGGGCCACCAGCAGTGGCCCGACTGCGGATGTTTGCTCGTGAACAGTTTGTGGGGAAGCACCTGGCTGTTGCCTGGTGCCCGTCGCCCACGTGCGAGCAAGCAGTGGAGTTGGTCCCAGCAGCAATGAGTTGTTCGGATACTGAATCTTCCTTTTGCAACTTGTCAGCAGCAGAAGTTGCGCCGGTAGCAGACGTGACTTGCAGTTGCGGCGCTCGATTTTGTGTACTGTGTGGGAACGAGCCTCACCGACCCATCTCTTGTCGCGTCATCGCAGCGTGGATGCGGAAGAACGTACGGGAGGCCGACAGTGTGACTTGGATTTCTTGCAATACACAGCCGTGCCCCAAATGCCATCGTCCGATTCAAAAAGACAAGGGGTGCATGCACATGCGCTGCTATTGCCAACACGAGTTCTGTTGGCTGTGTCTTGGTGACTGGAAGCAGCACTCGACTAGGAGTTTTTATCGGTGCAACGTTTATGAGCAGCGAGGTGGTGAATCTCAGCAGAGTGGCAGCAACGCGGACGCACAACATTCGCTTGAGCGGTATGCGCACTTTTTTGAACGCTACAGAGCCCACAACCACGGACAGCAAGTGGCAGCACGCATGCAGTCTAGCCAGCTGCAGAAGTGCCGGGAGGTCGCCGCTTCTGCTGGAGGAGCTGGCATGCAGCCACCACCAGCTAATTGCTCTCCTCACAATGCAAATGATACTGAAGAGGACAAAGTTCCCAACAGGCGCAGGTCGGAAAGCAGCAGCCCCACCCCATCAGGCGAACGAAATGGCACATCCCCTTCCAGCAACAGGGACGCAGAAAGCCCTGTCGGTTTCGGGGATTTTGACTGGGACTTTTTGGAGAAGGGGTGGCTGCAAGTTGTGGAGTGTAGGCGAATGCTGAAGTGGTCGTATGCTTTCGCATTTTTCGCCGAGTTTCCGGAAACCCGGCAGAAGCACCTTTTCGAGTTTCATCAAGGACAACTCGAAAGAAGCCTGGACCTCCTTCAGGAAAGACTCGAAACCTTTGAACCGAAGGCATACATTGATAGGGATCCTGCAGACCTCATTACTTTCAAGATGCAGTTGCTCGACTTAACTGCGGTCGTCCGCGGATTCTTCGCGAAAATATGCGATGTATTCGAAGATGAGTTTGTGGCAGACGCAATGCATGTCAACGACAGAGAAACAGGCTAAGGGGCAACTAGCAGGATTGCTGCGCATGCGCCCCAATTTTTTCAAGTTTTCAAAAGTACATTGCTAACTGTCGTTTGTCCATTTGGTTTCACATCAAGCAATGCTGGCTTTCTACTGCCGCTGCATCTTACGTCTCCGGGCAGCTGGTGATTGGAGGTGCTCTATTGTATCCCGTGGTTTGAAAAGGATTTTATTTTTTTCGTACTTTTGACCTACTGCGTTACCAAGCCGAACCAGCAGAGAGTATGAAAGCAACAGCATTGTGCGCAGTATGTGGGCTGCGCATTTTTTCAGTTGCTCTACCGGCCTGTAAAGGCTGAACGATGTCATACTGAAGAAATGGTGAGCGTTCGCTAACTGTGTAACTCGTCATATCTTGCCGGCAGCAGTGTAAATGGATTACTCCTTCCGCGCGCAGCTCTGCCTAGCGCAAGAAAGTGATACCTACGGACTGCGCAACCCTGGACGGAAGGAGCAACGTAAAAGTTGATGGTTTGAGCGTTGCTCACTTCCCGTCGATGGAATGCGACAGCGGTTAATACTGAGAAACTATAGGTTTTGGCCAATCGTCACTCGCCAATGGCATCTGGCCCCGTGCACGTGCTGAAATGAAGTGCAGCCCGTGTGTATTGGGAGGTTGTGTTGCAATGTTCGCATACGTATGAACATAGTTGTAGGCGGACCTAATCCATGCAGTTACATGTGTAGACAGATGCACGTACATGCTCAGAAGCACACATAAACTTGACGTGCACAACCCACTCGTGTGCGAATATGTATTTTCACGTGGCTTTGGCGTTACCGGCGCCAGTGAGAATGAGCGAAATGAGCGGTATGGAGACAAACAAACTGCCTGTTTCTAGACCTGAGGCCGTGTCTGCACTAGAGCAACCGTGTCTTCACCGATGACGACTCCTTCAATATCTTGGGGGGCGCCGTAGATTTCCTCCACGAGCACTCCAATCTGCATCAGGAACAAGGCAACAACGTCCTCTGTAGGTTACAGTATGTTTCAGAGACAAGCACGGAGCTTCTCACCCTTTAAATGCAATCCAACATGACGCAAAGGGGGTGGTTTCACTTGGGAGGGCAAAGCTAGGGCGGCCCCTGTGCAATTCTCGTTAAGTTCAAACGCGCCCTCTCACTTTGCTGATCTTTGAGAGCAACGCATGCCTGTACGCCTTGTCGCTAACGAGGCGCTGCCTCCAGTAACAGAGGGGCAGCCAAAAGGCTTCTTCTGCAGGAATGGACTCAAAGAGCCCGGCACCAGCAAACCCTGAGAGGTCCTCTCCGTTTGAGTCCGACCTGCGTCGGCACAGAAAAGCGACGACGTGTGTTAAAGGAGCAAAGAAAAATTCCACGAATATCATGGTCACTATTGCTACTCCAGAGGACCCACCGAAAGATTAGACACTGTTTGCATGTGAGAGCGACGCTTTTGCTTGGGAAAGCAACAACCCTAGGGTCTCCATTTCGGGTTTGTGTCCACCCTAAAGCACGTCCAGGGTAATTGCCTACAATGACTTCTCCAAGTCCTGTATCGCAGGCGAGCAGCCAACAGGTAGCAGACGATTACTGGAGAACAATGCCCTTGTTTTCTACCTACAGGAGCCAGGGGGGTCGGGCTTTGGGATTGTGGATGGTTAAAGCCGCTGGATAGCAGGCCGGGCCCGCAGGCAAAACATGGCGTTCAGTGAAGGTGGATCGGCTTCCAGTACTGCCCTTAACCAACTTACGCACTACAGCAGTGGCAGCTCTAACATTCCTCTGTCGGCAGGTGCAACATCTCACCTGGAGCAATTTCTCCGTATAGCTCATTCGGATCCTGGGAGAATGGGTTCTTAGTGTGCAAGACAAATGAATAACGGACTGGGAGAAGTTCCTGCAGGACAAAGGAGAGCTTAACCCGACCCTCATCTTTATAGCATGCGTTGCGCACACTAGGTGTAACCACAGCTAGCAAAACAGAATTAGCATCCAATACCTAATGCACCTTTATCCAGCGATTCTGGGGCCCTTAGACAAAACGAAGCGGCATTGGGATGCCAACTGCTTACTTGAATGAGAACTGCCATGTTAAGTTCGCAGTAGTCTCTAGATGCCTTAGTAAGTGAAACCCATGGGCGCAGTCCAAAGAGAGAAGCCCACACTTTGATCAGGGCCTGTGTGCACTTGGCATCGCCAGTATCGTTCCAAAGATCCATAAGGTGAGGCCGAGTGCCCAACTTGGCGGCGGGATAGTTGTTGTCACCTCCCTGGGCATCGATGCTATGAAGAGCTTCTTCTAGAGCCTGGCGCAGGTCTCGGGGGACTGCAACTTTTGCAATAGACTTCTGGCATGTCTCAAAGATAGCCTCTGCTTCCGAGTTCTTGAGACGAATTGACAGCTTCCGCAGAGCAGCACTGAGGGATTTTAATGTCTCCGCATTCTCAGGTGCATGCAGGGTACGCTGCAAACTGCCAAAAGGCAGGGTGATCGAGTACGGGGTCAGCACATCTTTGGGCAAGGCAGACTTCAATTTTGCGATATTTAGGGACTTTGATCCGACCAAGGACCTGACAAGAACGCATATTACCGTGTGCCCCCGATGCAATTTGAACGTGGGTGATGCAATAACGCTCCTCTGCACAAGAGGTAAAGTCTCGTTTGAGCTCGTGGCCGTCGGACCGGATATAGGAACACTGAACACCCTAGCGTTTTGCATCGCAACAAGATGAGCACGTAACCTCGCTTCTCGTGGAAATACCGAATCCATCAAATTACATACAGAAAATGCTCGTATTCTTCATTATCAGGAGCATACACAGGTGTAGAGGTGCGGGCTTACGAAGTGAACTTGTCTGGAGTGATGGCCCATGGAGCATCAGCAGACGCATCCAGAATTGCCACATTTTTGTCTGCTTGCTTTATAGATTTGCGAAGTTCTTCTTCTTCATGAGTTTCCAGGACAAGCTGAGAAGCCTTACGGTCAAAGAGGCTAGAACAAGTCCTCTGAACTAACGAGTCTGGCTTCCACCTGTGCGCCGCCGTCACACTTAAGCTGCTGCCATCGCGTGCGCACTGAACCTCCACCCACTGCCCAGCAAGCTCCTCCTGTATTAGAGCACGCCGCAGGAAGGCCAGTGCCGAACGGCTGAGACTTCAAAAAAGTCTTTAATAGACCAGCCCCTTTCAAGTGCAAGTCCATACTATGATCTACCCGGCTTGCAAAACCATACTGCCTCTCTTACGAGTTTGCCGCTTTCTGCCTCGTCAAAGCAGACAGCCAAAAGCACGTGGGCGTTCCGCGCGCGGACAGAGACATGACTGAGGATGTCGGGGGAGACAGCAGCAGAGCGGACTAGAACGGCCTGGACACCTTCCGGGATCTCCTCTTCGCCGCTCACAGCATTGCAGAGCAGGATTGTTGGCGATTCAAACACCTTATCCTGAGTTTCCATGCCAGAAGCGAAGCAGCAGAACATGGGGAATGCCTTAACCTTTTCTTCAGAGGATTGGTTTCAAAACAAGTCCGAGGCATGCAGATCCATCTGGAGTAAGCTCCCGTTGACATTCACTACGAGGTGACGCAGCTGCAGGAAAAGACAACCGATTCAGGAGGAGCCTGAAACCAAGCCCTAGCCCTTAATTCACCTGGATGCCCGAGAGTTCATTAATGGTAACAAATTCACCCTTGACTCTCTCTACAACCGAAATGAGCTGCCAAGCGGGCAGCTTCGCTGCCTTCCTCAGCAGGGGTTCCAGACGCTTGACGGAAAACGAGATACTCAGTAGAGATGACCCCCGTAGAACCTCATCTACAAAGAAGTCAAGCACTTTCTTGTCGGTTCCAACCTGTGCCCCCAAGTACTGTGCCTTGGGCCCGAGACCTTCCTGCACTGAGTCCACTTGCTTGCCTACAAAACGGGACAACCGATCTGACAAGGCCTTCAGAAGAAGAGCTCCCTCCCTGCACTCGTTGTTCGAGCTGTCTCCGCAGGCGCATCTAGCCGCGAGGTCTCCAGACAGGTGCTGCCAGTCAGCGCACAGGTTCCTATGACACCGCGAAACGAAGTCAGGAAAAACACTCGAGACTGTGTCTTACTTGGATTAAGTGCACCACTTATTACAGTCGGAGACTGTTGGGCTTGCGCAAAATATGCGCACAATAGTATCCACCGAAGTGGAGTGCCGCGATTGAGGCCTTCGGTAAGTGAGGGAAAGACTTGGTAAGTCTTTAGCGCACAGGTGATGAAAGGAGAGCTATTATGGGCGCCTACAAACTACAGGATCCTCCACAGCAGCATATCAGCTAAATCCACAGAATTGGTTTTACTCACGTGAGCTCGACATTGAAGGGGTCGTGGGCAGAAAGGCAAAGAAGGAGCTCTCTAAGATGCATCGCGAGCTGTTGTACATCAAAGGACCCCGTGGCTTGGAGCAGTAGTCCTTGTTGCTGCTCCAATACGAAGTCTAGCATCAATAATTCCCTCGTTCCGGCTATCTTTGAGTTGTCACAAGTGTCAAGACCCCCGTTTTCGTTCAGCTGGAAGCAAATGCGTCTGCGAGCCTCTGACAAACGTGAAAACCGATCGTGCAGCTCCCCTGCACCCATGTTGTCTGTCCGCTGTCCCATCTCCCACACCACTCTTTCTACAATTTGGACGGTGTCCCCCGCGAGGTACCCTCGGGCGTAGTCAAATGCTTTCTGAAAGCCCCAAACCAGATCCACCAAAAACTCGCAACTCAATGGCTGGAGCCTTTGGGACTCTTCAGCTCTACGGTTGTGCTGTGCTGCCCTCGTTGTGCGCTACGTGGTGCAAAAGCCGCCGACGTCGGCAGAGTGGCAACGGGCAGAGGTGTCCAGGAAACGAATACATAACGATGGCTTACTCGAGCATCCCTTGCATCGTGTACGTCCTGTATCACGCTGAGGTAGGCTCTGAAGTCATTGATAAGTTCATTTATGTCTGTGTGCAACATATGAGGCTCCATAGTAATCTTCCTCTCGTAGCTGGCAAGCCGTTCCCTGGTGATTCCGTGGTCACTGAGCACTCGCCAGTATGTGGAAAGGTCTCCGCGAGTCTCGAGGAAAGCAATTACTGCCTGAGAAGGCAGAAGGCAGAAGGAGAAGGCAATCGACTGACAGCAGGAAACATTACCCGGGCATCACCTCGGTGATACACGCAGTCACAGAAGACCTCGCACAGCGTCAGCATGATCCAGGAACTGGAGCCGCAAACACGGCACAAAATGTATGTTCCACAGAATCTTCTTCCGTGTCTGGAGGGGGAAGTTCTCAGAAGAACCGGTGGCTTGGCTGTATCACAGGACAGTGGCTGTAATACTAGATCGGGCTGTGCACGATTCTGAGTGACACCTTTGGTTAATTAAAGAATGGGCGTGGGAGCCACTGCACCTTACTCTGCAGATACCGATGTCGTCTGGAGTGGTATTGTTGTGAAGCTTTTGGTGCCACTGTTCATAAAAGCTTCCATGTTCAGGTATGTGATGCTTATGCATGATTTCTAGGATTCGATCTCTAATAGCTTGACCTTGGGAACCGCCTCTACCCATGGTGCTGAGGCAGCAACGAATCAGCGGACGGTGGGACGGAAAGTTGCGCCAGAGTCTGACGGTATAGAACGTCAGGGATTCGCAAGCGTGGGCCAACTCTCGAGGCTTTGTGTTGTAATTTCTTTGCCAGTCCAGAAGCCCCAGAAAGGCAAATCGAGCCCAGGTATACATCAGCTCCCAGAATTCCGTCTCCTCTGCCGCTTCAGCGGCAGCCAGATCACCGCATGCTAGAAGATCGTGGGCAGCCAGGGCTTTCTTCATGCATGCCCCGAACCGCTCAGGCAACGGTGCCTCGTCCCCCTCCCACTGCCTTTGGGCCCATGTTCGCGCTAGCTCCGACGCTCTCTGCGCCCGTGTATTGTATTCCGAAGATGAGGTAAGTCTGGCCTCAGACCGCCGAGCAAAGGATTCGTAGAACTCGCGCATCAGGTTGTAACGATGCATTAGTGTCATATGCTGCCACTCCACCTCGGCCTCTACGATTTTCTCCAGGTATTCGCGGTTCTCCCCCTTACATGGCACGTCTTCCACATCCAGAAGGCGGACCTGCAATACCAGAAACGAATACCGTGTCAGACATCTGCGCGGCGTGGACAAAGTTGGGAGCAGCATGACTTTCAGCTGACAACGCAAGGCGCCTCGCGCTCCAGACCCGCTAGACACCTGTATCCAGCAGAACCTTTTCGTAGTGCTTAAATCTGTCAGTAGGTTTTGAAGAACAGTTACAACTCTTGATACAACTATTTTTTCAGGAGGCTGCCCACTTGGATATCACGGTTGTCAATAGCCTTGTACCACCTGTCGGCATCCCTCTCTCTAAGGCAACAGGCAAAGCCGTCGAAGAGAGGTTCAATGCCAGGATCGCCTTCGAATTGCGGAGTGGTTTTGACTGCTGGAACGTGTATCTCTATGTGTTGCAGAAGGCCATCAGAACAGTCTTCAAATGGGGTCTCGCAAGCCCTGCGTCCCAAAACAGACCGCACTTGCCATTATCTGTCACGTCGATGAACTGCTGGCGCACGGGAGCCGCGGGCGGCAGGGGCATGCAAGTTACTTTGAAGCAGTTTCTACATATAGCAAGTATTCGTTGTTTTCTGCTGTTTAGAGCTCACCGGTGTGGATCCACCACTACTGTGTGGGGGGGCCTGACCTCAGGGGGAGGGCACAGCCACTGATACCTCCCCCCTTTCCCTGTTTCAATGGGAGGTGCTCCATTAGCCTCAGCCTCCCGCTGCAGCTCCGTCTGCCGTCTCCCCATGATGTCAACCATTCCCCACCTCAAAACACAAGGGGTTTGGAGACAAGCCGTGAGTGAGATGAGAATGTTCTGCTTGGACGCGTCCGCCTCCGTTTTCACCAGAAGTTCCCCTATGCCACCGGAGAGAGGCACCCGACGCAACGTTAGGGCACCTTCTGGGTTCCTGCAGTGTAGAGAGCATGCAAGGTAGAAAGTATTGCACGCCAACGCCGGCTAGTAGGCTGGTTCCCTCCATGCAATAATCAGCCTGTGCTGCAGCTCCTTGGAGCCATGATTAGGGCTGCTTTCCCCTTTCAGAGAAAAGACACTAACACTGTCAACGAAGAACAAACTAAGACAGGAATTTCGCCCTCAGGGGATATGTGCATTTTCCTTGCGTGTGCGTGTGTGTTACTGATTCTCTGCGCCTCACTGCTCCTGAGCAAACTTGCTAAATGCCTGCTTAGCCTCATTCCATTTTTTCCTTCGTTCTTCCATCTTTCTGGCCTCTTCAGCAGCTCGCATCTCTTCAATCTTTCGGTACTTTTCGCGCAGTGCCTCCCAGTAAGGATGCGTCGGAAGTTTTATGAAGAAGTCTCCGGTTTTGTCCGCAAACCAACGATCTGCCTTCACTTCTTTCAACACAAACGAGACCCCGCAAGGCACACCATCTCCCCTGAAGCAGAGAGCCACTCGTTGAAAGCCCACGCTACGCGACGTTTCGCAGAACTAAACGCAAGAAACACAACCACACAATACAGGGATATGCACATGCATGTTCCAATGTATATTTGCTCCTACTATGTACACAGACGGATACATGCATGCGCAGGTGCGCGGACGAGTTAACGTTGAGATGATTTATGTTTAGACGCATAGTCACATGAGTGAACGCCAGGACGGATGCCGCATATGGATAAGTGAAAATTCCAAGTGCTTCGAAATCGATACATCATAAGACCTTGGATGCTCTTAGTACCTCAAATAAAGTTTGCGCTGCCTTATTGTCGATAGCGTAGTGACCAAAAGTTCCGTACAGGGTCTCGAGATGGCATTCGTCTGCTGACGAGTCCCTAGACGCATCGCCTTTGTCAGTGTTGCTTGCCTTCCCAGAATTCGTCTTCTCCTGTCCCTGTATGTTCCTTTCGGAATCCTCCTTTTTGTGCTGCTGTCGGTGCTGCTGCTGCACCGGCTGCGCGTCGTTGGAAACGTGCACCAGCATTTTGTTGAGCTCCATGCGTTTCCAGGGGCTGCTTTGGCTCTCTGCAGTCCCCCAATGGAGCAGAAGAGCTGCCGGCCAATCGCAAAAGAGTTCCAATCCGCAGCATTCCTTGTCCACGAACGTCAATGCCAGCAGTTGCATGTCGCCGTCGTTCACCGCAATTCTCCAGTAGCTGCACATTGCACTTCACGCACTTCCCGTGCAGATGCAGCTACAGCCAGTGCGAATGGCCTTGTAAGTACGCGTTAGGGCGCATAAGAGTGCAGCATGCAGAGATACTGGCGTGGGCACCCATGCACCAACGGGAACGAATACGTTGCCTAGTGATGGCTGCACAAATGCATTAGAGCGTGAACGTACACAAGGGAACACGAAGAGGAATCCAGCAACTGCCAAAATGAACTAGATAGGTCCACAGGACCCTCGTGGTGGCAACTGTGTTTAATGGGATGAAAGAACACAAGCTGCATTGGGCTTTGAGGACAGCAAACGTAGTTCCTTGTGAGAAGATTTCTCTGCTGTTGCATGCTAATCTCGACGGGGAATCGACACATTTGCAACACACTGTATCAAGGATTGCTAATGGTTAGATGTTTGGGAGAATTGGGGGAAGAGTAGTACGTGGAAACGTGCTGAGAAGCGAACGGACTGTGAGCTGGAGGGTTTGATTTGTTGCAGAGGCTGGGTCCGCTTATAGGCATATATGGCGTTCAGAAAGGCCCTTCGAGATGCCATTGTTTTTAGAGCTTGCTTGAGAGGAAGCATGAAATTCGTAGAGGGCCGTCCTGGGGTAGGCTGTTTGAACCATTCGTTCGGGGGAGAATGTAATACGAACACCATGTATTCCGGGGCCACATCTGCGGGGAATGTCAACTCAAGCACTGAGGGGGGGCTAGAGCTAGGAGACGGAAAGGGGATATCTGTCGCCGCTCCTTCGAACTTCACAGGCTGACCGCCACAGCGCAACTGCTCCCTGAAGTCGCCATCGGGAGGGAGCCACTCCCCTGGATTCTTAGCGACACCCCTACAGCGCAGCACGAGGCGACCATTTGCAATTGCAGGAGGCAGAAGACGCATTAATCTGCGGAGATACACACCGGAGCAGTGCAATGGGAAAATGCAAATTGTGACTTGCTTCCAGCTCACCAGTGCAGCAGCAGTTCCTTGGATGCAGCACCTTCTCCAAAAAACGGATCTTTGAAAGACAAAAGGACCTGCACAGTTTGCCTTTCACAACTGGCATTTCCAGGGCGGCGCCGGATGGTGCACGACAGCGTGCGGCCGCCGTCAACCGGGAGCTCCACTTGGAATGCATCTGCCTCTGTACCTTCTAGAAGAGGCAATGACTCCTCCTGCTCCACCTGTTTTTCGTTCGCCATTTCTACGTGTTCAGTTCGTCGTGTGTGGGTGGTGGGTTGGTGAGAACAAAAAGGGGTTATGCCAAGGCTTCTCCGCCACTTAGGGAATGCCGACCTTGTATGGAGACCTGTCAGAGAAAGAATATTGTACCTGGATTAAAGAAGCCCACGGGAACTCAGCTGTATAGCTGTGTAGACCCCACATGCCTTGTTCCCTCGCCCTACCCTTCTCGCGCTAGGGCCTGACTTCCTGGTGAACATGGGGATCTGCCGAACCTTCGGGAGGTTCTGGGCTTCCGAATGAGGCAAATATTAAAGAAAATGCCGGATAATAACCATAATAACCTTAGCAGTGCCTCCCTCTGGAACAGCAAATCCTCCGCACGACCACTGCCAAACCGCTGAGGCGAGCGGAGCGAGGGAAAGGAAACCTGCGTTCGTTTTCCGGTTTTCGTAAAGGGCTGACCTGAGCAGTCAATTTGTTGCTGTCACTGAAAGTCACTTTTAATTCGAGAGAAAAAGTGACTGGGGGAACTGGTAAAGCCCCCCCTGTTTCCTCCTGTTCACTTCTGCTATACAAGAAGGAGCAGCCGACATTGCATCCGCTGGCCGGAGGCTGCTCATGAGCGCTTTTTGTCCGGACGTAATCACAAAAAGCGTCTTATGTACAAGTTACATAATTAATTCCGTAATGTAACAGATGATTACAGTTGCATTAGCCCGACCTTTCAATGTGGTCTGCGTTGCCCGTTGAGTGCAATGATTTTGCCTCTTAGACGGTTTCGTCTGCATTAAAGCGACGCCTCTGTGAAATAATAGGCACCACTACTAAATCGGTCTACTGAAAACTATACAGATGCTCTCTCGTGTTTTTGGGCCCACCGCATCATATCGAGGCCGTTTCGCCAGGGAGCACCAGAATTTGTGCTCCCTGGCCTGCACCCTGAAGCGCTCCAATTTGCCTTCTCCAATCCAGAGTTTCCCACCCACTACCGTAATCGTACAGAGGCATCTCCCAACCGTACGTGGACAGATCCAGGAACACCAGGCGCCTGCGCATCTAAGGTGTACCACGAAGGCGCCTTCGGAAGAAAACGAGAATCTTCGCAGATAAGCACATCCGCGGAACAAAGTGCCTAACCAGTAAGAGCTAGGGAGAGTGCATCAGAGGCGATGCTGAAACAAAGCTCCAGATATTTGACGTCGAATCGAGCTGCCTAACTCGGCGAAGCCACCGCACCACTCCTTTGCCATCGAGACCTTGAAAATGCCTCCTAAGGAGTGTCAGGGATTGATTGCGGGTCTGAGCAATGAACTGTCAGTATTATTAGTAGTGTCGACGCTTCCATACTCCTCACCAGCCAGCAAACTGTTCACTTTTCGTGGAACGACATCAGTAATGGTTATTTAGTGTTTTTTTAGTCTCAGCTTGCGGATACTGCAACCCGACAGCCGTCACTAGCAGTTGTCACGGAGAATTTCATGGAACATTGATTCTACTCGTCTCTCCGTTAAGGGTGCGACCGCTTTTGGAAGCACTGAGAAGAGCACTCTCTCATTGATTCCCAGCACGTAGACCTCACTGCGCGTTTGGAGACTGTATTCCGGCCCTCTACTGAGCCACCCACGGAATAAGCGGAATTATGCCATTCACCCACGGAACGCGTATGGTAATGTAGTGATGAACTCGCCCAACGTAGCAGTCTCGCATCATGGCAGGCATACCGAATTCTGAGTTCGGCCTGCATCTTACACCGATAATTTTACCGACTATTTTTTCCTGCCTGCCATTAGTGAAATGCACTCGCAAAGGCTGCACAGACGAATGGGCAGAAAGGTTGTACCTTCTTGCCGTGGATGCCCGTTGCACTTTGTGGCCTGTGTTCCGTTGCGTTACCAACTCCTGAACAATAGTATGAAGTTAGAAGACATACAGAATGTTCGAGGCATATACGCAGACGCTGCTGCCACCTCTCTTAGCCCCCTCAAACCCATCTGAGGCTGCGCGAGGTCCAGACCGTTACTGTGGTATGCTTGTGGGTTCCCTTCGTGGCGCTGCGCAAACCCTTGGCACTCCAGTTTTCCGCCTTTTGCAGGCTCCTGCTGCATCGAATTATGCGACCCTCTTTGCTGCAAAAGAAATAGATGCGCCATTGGGTACGCCATCAACGCTGTTTCCTGTCGACAATTTCGCTACAGCCTGCTTCCTTGCGAACTGGGGATACACCTACCTCGCAGCGTATCTCTGAAAGTTTTCATTGTCAGGGTCGTCTCCGGAAAAATGCTCCATTGCTAAAAGATAGCCACCATACTCGTGGCTCCCCTTCAAGCGAAGAAGATAGCAAATGGAACTGTAGCACCACGCCGCCCCTCATACTTGGTGGACGGTTGGCAGGACCGGGGGCATTCCTCACAAATTGTTTTATCTGTAGAAATATTTTCGGCGGGATGCAATCTGGATACTGCCCTTGTTCCAATGAGGCGAGGCACCCAGACGTTGGTCAGCTCATAGTAGAAAATAAAAGAATTTCCAACAAAATTTCACGTGAGGATGAAAAGATTCTATTCTCTTTACCAACGCCTTCACAACTAGTCAGTGCTACTCGTGTCCCCGTCGAACCAACTTAACGAGATTGCTCGATCTTAGCCGTGAACCATCCTGAGCTGAAATGTAATCAGATATTTTAGGTAAGGGTTCGGAAAAGGCAGCTGATGTCCCTTCCAGTCTCCAGGGTTCCTGGCAATAGATGGCCAAGCGCGTCGGGATGATGCTAAGACAAGGAACAATCTGTTATGAGTCGCGCAACGCACCGTGCTGCAGCTCAGGGTGTAAGGCAACCCCGCAAGCAAGTATTCCCGAACTCTCCTCTGCTGCACATTCTGACACTGTAGAACAGTTCGACACTTCCTTGGCCAGTGACAGCCAGTATGTAGGTAAGTAGACATGCATGTATCAACGCCAGACCGACCATGGTAAGTTGCATCTCACGACTGTCCTAAGCCAGGACCACTACAGATATTCAGCTCTTGTCGTTGAATGACAAGCAGCGGATAAGCCCAACTTCCTCTGGAACGAGATGATCATTAACTTCCACTTGAGAATTTTCCGTGCGTAACTGTTTGCAGTGAAATTCCACGGAAGCAGCCGTATATCAGTACACGAACTAAACTAAGCATACACATGAATGCATAAACCTAAATTGCTGCTGCAAGAACGTTTCGTTCTGCAAAGAATGCAGTATCACTCAGCCCCAAAGACAGATGGATGCGCCTTGTTAGCCGAACGCTCAGAGTACACCCTACAAGTGAAAACAATGAACTTCATATTTCATTTCTGCATTATTTTAGGGATTCCACTGTGAAACGCCTGCATGCGAGTAGTATTAGCGCAAGCAGCACCGCAACTGCGTTGAGCACAGAGCCCCACGGTTTCGCTAACACAGCATGCCAAGTTTTGCGCTTCCGTGTTGTTTTCATGGATGAAATTAGAAGGCGGATTAAAATCCGCAGGAATTCTGGTTGTACACTGCACTTCGTTTCGGGTGCATGCACAGATCCTGGACGACACGATACCTGTGTGCGTTTCCAGTCTGAGAGAAACTTGACACCTCAAGTGACTCTCTAGCTGCGCCGCCTTCAGCTGCCCTTTTTTCTGCACTTCATGACGCGCTTCTGGTGTTGATTCCTCTTTCTGGTGGAGATGGCGGGGCCCCCCTTGGGGGCCCCCGCGGGCGAAGGCTGTTCAGCTGCGGAAGCAGCAGCAACCGCACCAGCTGCAGGATTTAATTCAGAAGCTGCCGCAGATGCAGATGCACCGTCAAGCGTTTACTTCTGCAAGTCAGCGCCTCCGATGCCAGATCCTTGGCGGCCTCCTAATGCGTACGACGACCTTATTGGGTTGTACCCTGACAGGTAGGCGATTGGTAGTATTTGCGTTTGGTTTCTCCCTTCTCTTTCCTCGATTTGTTTGCATTCGTCGGTTATTTGCTCCACCGTCTGCTATTTAGGCCTCTGTTTGTTTTTGTTTTCTGGCTCCACTCCGACGTGACGGTTCATGTTCAAGTCTGGTTTCTTTCCCTATCTTATTCCCTTGATTTATTTCATTTCTTTGTACCTGTCTGCACTCTGCCTCTCCATTTATCCTTTTAAGCATTAGATTTCTGTGTCTGATTTTGCGTGTTGTTCTTACGACGCAGGGTAGCGTTTGTGTCGCAGCAGGAGCAGCACTTTGCTTCTCGTGTGCGCCTGGCTGCGCTTCGTCCTCGAGGTGTATACGGACCTGGGTTGCTGTCTAATACTCTGCCTCACCAGACGAAATTCTTCTGTCTTCATCAGCCGCTGCCACCTCTTCCAATCCCAGAGGCACATCGCTACCACAACTTCACGTTGGTTGATTTGCTTGAACACGATGCTCCAGAAACCAAACCAGAAACTCCACCCCATGAGGAGCCGTCTTTCTTCTCTTCATTAGCAGCAGCAAATGCTTCAGCACACTCAACAACCGGCAGCAGCAGCAGCAGCACCAGTGCAGATAAGAGCGCCAAGGCTGCAGCAGCCACAGTCGCCGCTTTTCTACTTTCTGCTGCTCCTGCTGCAGCCTTGGGAGAACATGCATTTAGGAAGGTGCCCATGCAGCATCAGCAGCAACCGCGACCAGAACAACAGGCTTCAACGACGAGCAGCAGCTTGCTGCGCTCTTTCTCTGCTCAAAGCATCCGGCAGCAGCAGTTGCAGCAGCAGCACAGCAGCAGCAGCAGCGCCATCGGCGCAGCGTCGTCAGTCTCCAGCAGAAAGGGCAGAGCTGACAGTTACGTGAGCAGCGCCTCGCAGCGGATACAGCAGCAGAAGCACTACCTACAGCATCAACAGCAGACTCTCTACATGCAGCAGCAGCCGCAGCAACAGCAGCAGTACATGCAGCCACAGCAGCAGTACATGCAACCACAGCAGCAGTACCTTCACCCGCAGCAGCAGTACATGCAGCACCAGCAACAGTACATGCAGCAGCAACCGCAGCAGCAGCAGCAGCAATGGAGTACAGTGTCTGAGACGAGGCAAGAGAAGAAGCGGAAACCCAAGCGAAGGAAACTGGAGGATTGGTAGTGGGTCGCTGCTGTCTCTTCTTGTCTTTTCCTCGTGCTGCTCCTTGCAGCTTGAACACCCTTTTGCTGCGCTGGCAGCAGCTACGGCAACAAGTGCTGCTGCTGGGGGCTGCTGCTGCAGCCCCCAAGGGCACGGGCAGCCCTTAGCAGCAAACTGTTGCTGCAGGGTACTGCAGCAGCAGCAGTTGCTGCTGGGGGCTGCAGCAGCAGCAACGGTGCTGAAGCAACCGAGCTCAGTAAACCCTAAACCCCCATTCTTTTTGTTTGGGGTTTGTTTTATTGGTTTTGATAGGAAGGGCTGCTAGTCTCCTTGTTTATGTCTAATATACCTCTAGCTGCGGTTAAGCTGCAGCGGAACAGCCACTTATATGAATGAACCCTCAGGCAGACAAATCTTTCTATAGAGACAACTTCTACTACCGTCTCTTCCCCTGCTTAATTATCCTCTAAGATGCAGCAACAAACCTTTCTGAGGAGGCAGCTGCTACTCGTTTCCGCAGCCCTTTATTTGCTGCTGAGTTCAGGCCGCTGCTTGGCGTAACGCCAGAAATAGAGAAATAGATGAAATATTACGTGGAAACTGCACATACACACGTACACTCATTTGCATGCATATGTACATATTTATTGCAGGCACAATATATATATATACAATATATATATATATATATATATGCAATATATATGTATATACAGTGTATTTAGATACCTGTATGTATGTGTATGTACCTGTATATATATAATATATATATATATATATATATATGTATGTGTATGTACATAT